TTTATAGTAAAACTAGCTTTTGCTTATTCTTTATTGCACTTAAATACATTTGTAAGTATATTAATTACAACTTATATTAACAAACAAATTTGTCCGCTTGAGGTTGAATTTATCAAAATCCTTTCTTAGGGGATGCCTACGTCATAGTAGCTTTATGCATGCAAGTCTCAGCCCGATTGGTTTAAAATTGACAAAGTTTCATAAAAACTTTCATCCCCTATTTTATCCCTTTGGGGGTAGAATTAATAAAAATCCTTTCTTAGCAGATGCCTACGTCATAACATCTACCTGCATGCCAAATTTCAGCCCGATCCGTCCAGTGGTTTGGGCTGTGCGTTGATAGATCACTATGTCAGTCACCTTTGAGTTATATATATTTAGATTTTAAAGTTGTAAACGAGATAAAACGGTCTATAACTCAGAGGGCGCAGTTAGTCCACCCTTTACCTATTCTGTTATAGCCTTTACTAGTATACTCGTTTAGGTAGTTATATGATACATTAGCTATTCCCGCAACTTCGCCCGCGTGGACTTTAACTTTAGTTTTTGAAATAAAAAGTAATAATGTAATAAGGAGTAACTTAGGGAAGTTACTCCTTATTACATCAGCTACATGCCGAAAAAAGTCCCATCAAAATAGGTCCAGCCATTTCAGAGATTAGCCGGAACGAACAGGCAGATAGACAAGAATTGTAAAAAATGTTATTTTGGTGTATGTACCGTATTTATATTCATATGCATGTAGTACAAAACGTATATTTCAATATTACAAACAGACACTCCAATTTTATTTACATATATGCAAAATATCAATATATCTTTACTTTTACATTGCAAAAAGTGCCCATATATCACAAACAGACAGACAATCCGTCCTGTTCAGTTTAATAGCGGACCATTACAAAAACGAGGGCGTTATAAATTACTGAAATGTATACCATATACCACAAACACGTTCATATCTATTACAATAGCACCTAAACTGAGTTTGAAGCGTCAAAAAAATTGAATGAACGTAAAAATTTTTATGAATGAACAATCGAATGGGAGACATTCCGGCGTCGGTTGTTCAGTCACTTGAAGGTGATTTTTTTTCGGTACGCACTTTTGTCCGGTTGGGTGATAAGTCGATGTTATTATGTTAGGTTGGCCATTGTTATTTAGTAGTAGTGGTAGCGAAATTTCTTTCATTATGTTTGGATTGGATATTGGTTTTTTATGAATGATACGATATTTATTGCAGTGTAGGCGTTTATTAGTTTTGCGTGTATAATAATACTTTTTTTCTATAATAATAACCTATTAATAATAACCTGGTCTATTCAGGTTGTGAACACTGATTAAATTTTTTATTCTTTGCGATAGCATATGCTGGTGGTCACTCTATTCTCCCAAATTTGAATTTTAATAACTGTATTTATCATAAACATTTTCCACTATTATTTGAAAAAAATACGGGCTGAGTTTCTTGTCAGTTCTTCTCATCTCGATATCATTCCGAACTGACGGTAGATTTGACATATCATAAGAGTCTGTAATAGACCTACATGAATAAAGATATTTTTGAATTTGAATTTGAATTAATAATAGGTCGGGTAATCTAAAATAAAAGTAGCCTAAGTTACTCCTTATTAACATCAGCTACCTGCTAAAAGTTCCGTCAAAATCGGTCCAGCCATTTCATGCCACAAAGTCGCGGGAACAGCTAGTCAGTACATAAAAATTGAAATATTATATGAGTTATAGCACTCATAACATAAACTCTGTTTGGCTCGAACTAGATGGCGTTGCGTGAATTATCAAGGCGTATTATTATTATTATATACTTAGGATACCCTAAAAAAAGAAACATCAAAACTGGACGGTGTGAAAAGCATTGCATGGTTGCCCGTCTGGATGCTGATTTTAAATAGGGGTTGCACTTACGGTGCCGCCCCCTTCGTTCACAGAGACTGTTTGTGACACCACTTAAATTATATATGAGCGATAGTCGATAAACATTAGTTGTTAATAACATTGCTATAAAATACACTTATTTTTTATGTTATTGATAGAAGCTGTTTACTGGACCTCTAAGGGTAGGATCTGTCTTTTTTATTATTTTTTTATATTTTTAAGTATTTATTATATTATATAAAAAATTAAAAAAGTTATTTTTTTTATTATTTTCATACATTTTTTTCAATTTCTTGGATGAAGAAGGATTGTTCACCCCTAATTTTTTTTTATTGCTTGGACTAAAGTAAAAAATACTTTTTTATAATGTGACATTAAAAACATATCGGTTCAACCCTAAATTTTCACCTATCTACCATAAATCCTTATTTTTTAATAGCGATGTTTATTTACATGGCAAAACGCCACTTGCAAAACTTGTAAAAACCCTCAATAAAATGAACATATGCACTATAACTACTTATAACATTTGTGTCACAAAGTACAACGGTTTAAATCAATTAAATGCGACGTGACCACAGTCGTGAGTGCACTTGGGAATTCACGGATGCACTGGTAACCACACAGTAACCTCTTGAATTAATATTGTCAATTGCATCCACTTGTTTTGGATGATGCAATTCGTAGTCACATATGTCAGTTGTGATTAGAAGAGTCCTGGGATCGATTTTTAATACAATAATAGGTAACAAACTAATCTGTTTAAAAAATTAAAGTGGATGACCTATGCTGATATGACCACAGTTGTGAGTGTACTTGGGAATTCACGAATGCACTGGTAATACACGAATTCACGAATGCATTGGTAATACACGAATTCACGAATGCACTGGTAATACACGAATTCACGAATGCTCTGGTAAACCACACAGTAATGGTAGTTTTGTATTGTCAATAGCGTACACTTGTTTTGAATGATGCAATTCGTAGTCACATATGTCAGTTGTGATTAGAAGAGTCCTGGGATCGATTTTTGACACTATAATAGGTAACAAACTAATCTGTTTAAAAAATTAAAGTGGATGACCTATGCTGATATAACCACAGTTGTGAGTGTACTTGGGAATTCACGAATGCACTGGTAATACACGAATTCACGAATGCACTGGTAACCACACAGTAATCTCTTGAATTAATATTGTCAATTGCATCCACTTGTTTTGGATGATGCAATTCGTAGTCACATATGTCAGTTGTGATTAGAAGAGTCCTGGGATCGATTTTTGACACAATAATAGGTAACAAACTAATCTGTTTAAAAAATTAAAGTGGATGACCTATGCTGATATAACCACAGTTGTGAGTGTACTTGGGAATTCACGAATGCACTGGTAATACACGAATTCACGAATGCACTGGTAACCACACAGTAATCTCTTGAATTAATATTGTCAATTGCATCCACTTGTTTTGGATGATGCAATTCGTAGTCACATATGTCAGTTGTGATTAGAAGAGTCCTGGGATCGATTTTTGACACAATAATAGGTAACAAACTAATCTGTTTAAAAAATTAAAGTGGATGACCTATGCTGATATAACCACAGTTGTGAGTGTACTTGGGAATTCACGAATGCACTGGTAATACACGAATTCACGAATGCACTGGTAACCACACAGTAATCTCTTGAATTAATATTGTCAATTGCATCCACTTGTTTTGGATGATGCAATTCGTAGTCACATATGTCAGTTGTGATTAGAAGAGTCCTGGGATCGATTTTTGACACAATAATAGGTAACAAACTAATCTGTTTAAAAAATTAAAGTGGATGACCTATGCTGATATAACCACAGTTGTGAGTGTACTTGGGAATTCACGAATGCACTGGTAATACACGAATTCACGAATGCACTGGTAAACCACACAGTAATGGTAGTTTTGTATTGTCAATAGCATACACTTGTTTTGAATGATGCAATTTGTATTCACATATGTCAGTTGTGACTATTTTTATGAATTGATAATGAAATGGTACACACGCCAGCGCTGTCAGTTTACGCTGGCGGAGCACCGGAGGATGATAAGATGAGTATGAGGTCAGGTCAGTTAGTCCATCATGGTAAATTGACTAGTAATTTCTTTTCAAGATTTTCTTGAGAGACTACAGCATGGGGATTCCAAGAAGGGTATAGGTTTTTTAAGAGTCGGCAACGCGCACGTGACAACCCTGGTGTTTTAGGTGTCTATAGGCTACGGTAACCATTTACTATCAGATGGGCCGTATGCTTGATTGCCACCACAGTAGTATAAAAAAAATTGTTACGATGGTTTCCAGGGGAAACCACGTACATTGTTATGAATAGGATTATAAGTCCACATTACTATCCTTACATCCTTCCCCCTGTCTGTGACGATTAGAAAAACCGAGTCGTAGGTTCAATTTATGACACAATAATAAGTAACAAAGTAATCTGTTTAAAAAGTTAAAGAATAGAATAGAATAAAAAATCATTTATTTAAATAAACTTAATTTAAGCACTTTTGAATAGACATAACAATTTGTTTTTTATCTACCATTCGTTCGGAAAGTTGTCTCATCACAAGAAGAACAAGCAAGAAACTTGTGTGTTGCTCTTTTAAATAATCCTTGTAAGTTTACATTTACAAGTCGAAACGTGTGTATACAAACTAGCAACCAGCACAATTTTTTTGGGTCAAATATAAAATCAAATATATAATATATAAAATGCATTATATAATCTGTGTATACAGCATTCTTATCTTCCGAATGCATTAATGAGGACTATTGTTGTACCCATAGCAAAGAATAAGACTGGCGATCTCTCAAATAAAGAGAACTATAGACCCATATCGTTGGCTACTATTGCTGCGAAGGTGCTTGACGGTGTTCTTGAGAGACGAGTAGGCAAATATTTTAATATACACGATGCGCAGTTCGGTTTTCAGCCAGGACTGTCGACGGAGACGGCTATTATGGCGCTCAAGGACACGGTCAAGTATTATACTGATAGAAGTACACCTGTCTATGCAGTTTTCTTAGATCTTTCCAGGGCGTTTGACCTGGTTAATTATGATATATTATGGTCAAAAATGCATCGCCAAGCTGTACCTTGTCAGCTGGTTGATTTATTTAAGTATTGGTATGATCATCAAGTTAACCAGGTCAAATGGTCGGGTTCGTTCTCGGAAGAGTATAGGTTGAGGTGTGGGGTGAGACAGGGGGGACTGTCTTCTCCTGCACTCTTCAGTTTATATGTGAATGACCTGATTGATGGGCTTAGCAGTGCCAGGATCGGATGCTCCATACATGGAAACATGATTAACAGTATAAGTTACGCGGACGATATGGTGCTGCTGAGTCCATCGATTAGTGCACTTCGTCGACTGCTGAAGACGTGTGAAGAATATGCGGAGTCACATGGCCTCCGATACAATGTTAAAAAGAGCGAGGTCATGATATTTCATGGCAAAAATAGCACACAGAGAAGTATGCCGGCGGTATGTCTTTATGGCACACCATTGAATCGGGTGTCGCGGTTTAAATACCTGGGTCACATTGTATCGGGGGACTTGAATGATGACTATGACATAGAGAGGGAACGAAGAGCGTTGTCGGTCCGATGTAATATGCTGGCCCGTAGGTTTGCACGGTGTAATAACGACGTGAAGACAACGTTGTTTAAAGCGTATTGTCAGTCGTTTTACACGTGCGGCCTATGGTTTGGGTATACGCAGAGGGCATACAACGCTCTTCGTATACAGTATAATAATGGGTTTAGGATGTTGTTGGGGCTCCCTCGGTTCTGTAGCGCATCAGAGATGTTTGCAGCAGCGCGGGTAGATGGATTTGAAGCCATAATGCGTAAAAGAGCTGCATCACTGATGTCTAGAATTCGGGGGAGCTCAAACAGCATCCTAAAAACTGTTGCTAGTATACCTGATTGTCCGCTCCAGAGGCACTGGATAACGTTGCATTGTGGACCCAGTGCTTCTGGACGTGGATACAGGTATATGAATTAAATTTATCTACGTATATGTATATTATAAGTTACTAACATAGTTTTATAAGTTTTTTACTAACACTATATGGATGTAATTCCGAATTAAATAAATAAATAAAATAAAAAATAAATAAATATGCAATAAGATTAAATCAGTCGTAGTGATAAGAGCAGACCAGTCCCTACAAGCAGCACTCGTTCACGAGTATGACGGATGAGCCAGTCATCACTGCGCTCGACTATATTTTGGGGAGCCCAATGATCCGGTGAGTCATAAAGTGTGATCACCTATGTGATGGTAGGTATGGTAAGGGTCGACGGCTAGCGGTTCACCTAACAACAAACAGGATCTATAATTATAGATATGGTTCAAAAGTGTTTAAAATTAAGTTTATTTGATTCAATGACTTTCTATTCCATTCTATTCTATTCTGCAGAATGTAATTTCAATAACGTATCTCATACCTCTTACACAGATAAGGTGTATCATTAAATAGTATAAAATAAAGTCGCTGTCGCTGTCTGTCCGTCCCTATGTATGCTTAAATCTTTAAAACTACGCAACGAATTTCGAAGCGATTTTTTTAATAGATAGAGTGATTCTAGAGGAAGGTTTATATATATAATACATGTACACCCGGGCAAGTAGCTAGTAGCATAATATACTACAATATATTACAGATTACTACTTACAATGTCTACCTCTGTTGCCATTCATTTTATTCTTGTTATATACAGCTTTGGAGTGGAGTCCTAAAATACCAAAATATTTTCTAAACATTCATATATCTAGTTATGAAAATGGCACTAAGTGAAGTCGAATTATGGCACATGTCAACGGAAAGAGTAATTTTATTTGTTAACAACAATTTTTTTGTTGCCAGAAAAAATAATCTCATATTTTTGTCACGTATAACGGTAAATAGGTTTTAGGGTTCCAGACCATAAATTTGTACCGAGCAGTATAATATATGAAAGAGTAATTAAAAAAATAAAATCAATCACGGCAATTTTATCTCGTTGAAGACCACATTGAAAAAAAATAATAATAATAATCGCAGGACAATTCACACAGCGCCATCTAGACCCAAGTTAAGCTAGCTAAAGCTTGTGTTATGGGTCCTAGACAACTGATACAAATACATAGATATATTTTTTTTTTCGTAAATACATACATATTATACATAGAAAATACCCAGACCGATACAAACAATCGTACTCATGAATACAAATGTTTGTGCCGTGCGAGGAATCGAACCCGCGACCATCGGTCGTAAAGCGGTAGATTAGACCGATAGACCACCGAGGTCGTCAAAAAAAAAATACATTTACGTACGCTGTCTCGTGTGTGGTGGTTACCACTGAAAATCAGCGCTGTGGTATAACTATACTGCAGTATAAATGCTGAGTGAGAGTCACATTCAGCGTTACTAGTATGTTTTAGCTTTTAAGTTGTACAGTAAAAAGAATACTGTAATGCTGAATAAAGTCTTTATTATTACTGTTATTTTATATACATACTAGCTGTCCAGCCAAACGTTGTTTGCCTTAAAATAAAAAAAAAATTAGGGGTGGACTACCCCTAACATTTAGGGATGAAAAATAGATGTTGGCCGATTCTCAGACCTACTCAATACGCTCACAAAATTTCATGAGAATCGGTCAAGCCGTTTCGGAGGAGTATGGGAACGAAAACTGTGACAAGAGAATTTTATATATAAGATCTGCAACATGTTTGCTAAGACTTTTTGGTATAATTCCTGTGGATGACAAAATTATGGGTACTATGTGGATGGTGTGTGCTTTCCATTGTTTTTTAATTCTATTGCTAGAATACAGAATACTTTGTTGATTTTTCATTGACAGTGCTTTGTATATTGTGTGTGTTTGGGATGGCTATATCTTGACCCAAGTTAAGCTAGCTAAAGCTTGTGTTATGTGTACTAGATAACTGATACATATACATAGATATTTTTTTTGTAAGTACATACATATTATATATAGAAAACACCCAGATCGATACAAAGAATCATACTCATGAATACAAATCTTTGTGCCGTGCGAGGAATCGAACCCGCGATCATCGGAAGTAAGGCGGTGTGCTAAATCGCAAGACCATCGAATCCATCAAAATATTCTTCCCATGATCCCGTTCATTTAGACCCTTACCATCTTTTTTAAACAGTTTATATAAATTACCCAGACGATTATCATAAATACAAATATTTGTACCGTGCAAGGAATCGAACCCGCAACCATCGGTAGTAAGGCGATGTGCTACCGCTAGACCAGTGAGGCCGTCAATTACATAAAGATATCAAAACGGATATCATAAAACGCAGACAATACGATGGAAAAGAATACACTACCTACAACCTTAGAAGCGAGCATTAGCAAATACAACGCTAGAGGGCAATTTCTTGCTCCATTTCAAATTTACGAGCTTAACGCAAACATCCGCTCATCTCAATAGATGTTACCCTATTTATATTACTATCAATTCATAATTCTGTTTAATTTTCTCACAGAGAATACCAAAAATGGCTCAGTTATCACCGTAGTGGATGGAGCCAGCAAAATAGCGGTTTCTATAGCGATTTTATAAGTGGCAGCGATTTGTCTGATGTGCCACGTATGATTAAAATCATTTATTTCCTTAATTTTTTTAATTACACTTTCTCTGTTACATATAAAAAGAATTTTAATAATGTTATCTATAGAAAGTAAATTAACAACCTCTATATTTTGATATTCGACGACCTCGGTGATCTAGCGGTCTAGCACACCGCTTTACGACCGATGGTCGCGGGTTCCACAAACATTTGCATTCATGAGTATGATTGTTTGTATCGGTCTGGGTATTTTCTATGTATAATATGTATGTATTTACAAAAAAAAATCTATGTATTTGTGTCAGTTGTCTAGTACCCATAACACAAGCTTCAGCTAGCTTAACTTGGGTCTAGATGGCGCTGTGTGAATTGTCATGGGATTATTATTATTATTATTATATTCCTGTGTAAGAAAATTGACAGTTTATTAGTTATTTGACAGTAAATACATACATATTCAGGCTTTTTTATTATTCTGTTAAACCTTTAACTAACTAAATTGTTAAAGGTTTTGAAATTGTTAATAATTTCATTTTACGACAAATTTTCCAATTTACAACTGTTTAAATGTGTACAAATCAATAATTTTTACTCAAAAGTCGACTAATAGCTCTGATGAGTTTATTTGCAATTATAAAGTAAAAGTGCAAACATTATGCTTTTATTACTATTATACAGAAGATAAACTGCGGATCTATGCATTAACAAAAAGAATCATTTACCATTTATAAGTTATATTATTATAAGTGGACGTTTATTATATCATAGTTTTCCGAAATTAATTATGTGAGAATGAAAAACCAACTGAGAAATCCATAATACTACCCGTATTATGAATTTCTCAGTTGGTTTTTATGGTGATTGTAATAAAATTAGGTAATTGTGGATAAATTAAATTAATTTGCTTCTGTATATTGTGAAAGATCATATGAAATGAAAAAAAAGGAGAACATTAAAAAGTATCTGGGAACTAAAACTGTGACACGAGAATTTTATATATGAAAATCTCGTGTCACAGTTTTAGTTCCCATACTCCTCCGAAACGGCTTGACCGATTCTCATGAAATTTTGTGAGCGTATTGAGTAGGTCTGAGAAACGGTCAACATCTATTTTTTATCCCCATAAATGTAGTAGGTAGTCCACCCATAATTTTTTTTTTTATTTTAAGGCAAAACAACGTTTGCCGGGACAGCTAGTATGGTTATAAAAAGTATAAGTATATAAGGTAATAAATTTAAAGTCAATAAATTTCATTCAAATTCAAATTCAACAATCATTTATTCATGTAGGACATTTTAGCCGCTTATGAACGTCAAGTTTTTACATTATATTTTTTTTCCCCTACCGTCCAATTCGGTATATAGATCCAATTGATTGTTAGTTGTAAACCAGTGCAAGAGACGCCGCAAATCACTATTTACATCGTCATAATGATTAGTCATTCTATTAACTTTAAAAATCAATGAAGTAAAAAATCTTTAAAAATAATTCTATCTTTCTTTATCTATATCCGCTCGTTTCCTGGCCCTCGACTTAAATATGACAGCTATATTTCAGCTTAACATTTCAATCGCGCCTCAGTTTATATTTCGGATATAATATCCTTCGTATTATTACTACTGTGTATTTAAAATATGTTAAACACAGTAAAATATTGCTCCGCAAACATAGGGATTACATTTCGGTGCTGCTACAAGGTTCAATCCAGTTTTGAAAGTTTAATAAGGGTTAAAAATTACATGTTAAATGGTTTATCTTCATATTGTTTGCTTTATGGATTTATTGTAAGGGACATAAATGTATAGTGTATTTTTGTGAGTTACTAGCTGTTACCGCGACTTTGTCCGTGTGTGATTTAACTTTATTTTTCTAAAATAAAAATAGGCTATGTTACTCCTTATTACATCAGCTACCTACCAAAAAAAGTCCCGTGAAAATCGGTCCAGCCATTTCAGAGATTAGCCGGAACAAACAAACCGACAGACAGACAAAAATTGTAAAAAATGTTATTTTGGTATATGTACCGCATATATATTCATATGGATGTAGTAAAAAACGGTTATTTCAATATTACAAACATACACTCCAATTTTATTTATGTGTATAAATGTATAGATGTAGTAAAATTAACCTTACTAATAGTATAAACGTAATAGTTTCTGAGTAGAATGGATAGATGTTTTGTTACTCTTTCACGTACAAACTACAGAACGAATTTTGATGAAACTTTACAGTAATATAGCTTATACATCAGAATAACATATGGACCATAAATTTTGTGCGGGTGAAACATGCAGGCGCAGTTAGTATAATAATAATTCAAATTCAAAAATCATTTATTCATGTAGGCCATTTTATCCGCTTATGAA